CAGAACTTGGCCTTTAACTTTTTTTGTGTTGGGGTTATTGTTAACCAAAAATGTAAAAAGTTTCTTCACTATGCCATAGAGAGAGAGGTGAGAGATTTTGACAACCACATGAGTGTCCGTAATCTCCAGCGGCTTGAGGAAGCTTGTTCCATCATCAGTGATGTGGACGACAGACAGCTGGTCTTCAGGCAGCAGAGCTGTGAAAACAAAGAGCTGTTAAACTTTTGTTTTACTGATAACAACCTCAATACAATGTTAGTCCTGATTTTAGTTTAGTCATTGAAGAACACAACTCAGGTTTAATTCATTGAACACAACAGTCAGTGTTGGTGGATGGCAAGCCGGTGAGGGACGGAGCCCTTGCTCCTGCCTAGAAGGGGATCAATTGTTGTTCCTGGGGGAACTGCTAGCCCAAATTACAGAAAAAGGGATAACTATGCAAAATAAGTGAAAAAAAAGGAAATAGCCAAGCCAAAAAAAGGGTTTATTCATGAGCCCCTGATGATAAATCAATTTTGGTGAACTCCATTTCCTTTTCCCACAAATATAAAAATGTAATAAGAAGATTAGTATGAAATCCATTAAGGAAAAGGGAAGAGACAACTCTGTCCTTTTACCAGTGCTTTCAAATATATATTTCTTTGTGATAATACAATAGGCCACTGTTAGAAATATGTGCTAATATATTGAAACCGCAAGGAAAACAAATAAAATTTAATTTCTTCTGTAAATTGAATGCAAAAACAGACTTAGGTTGTAAGTCAGTTATTACCCTCCGACGTATCTCAAATCGTGTTGGATCCTTTAAATTGAGCGAATTAGGCCTGGAAAGTCCTTCAAAGTCACTGAATTTGATGTTTAAGAAGTTGTGGAACCTGGAAATTTTTTTTTACAATTTCCAAGTCCCAGATGATATCTTCAAATTACTTGTTTTGTCCAAATAACCGTATAAAACCCACAGATGAAAGCAGCAAATAGCTGAATACACATTGTTTTTTAGGATTACTCTGGTGCTGGCCACAGGCAGAATTACAAGATTGGGCAAAATAAGTAAGTAAATAAGTACAAAGAGTTACTTTATTAGGTTGGGTGCTAAAATAAATCTATGTGCAGTTTGTCCAGGCCAGTTTCATTAGTTAATTTTCAGTAAAATTTCAGTGACCATTGTGGGTTTTTCTGTCTTTAACAGAAGGGTACCAGCAATTTTGTCAACGTGTTTAATGATGTCACACTAAATTGTCATGTTTTTTGTAGTAATCCAGCCAGGATGACTTCTCTTCTAAAAACAATTTAAAAAAGTTTTATAGCAACTTCAAAGTCAACAGCATTGAACTAATGCATGAGAACTGCGAGATGAAGAGGTAGAGACAGGTGAGGGATGTGACCCATGCAGCGCAGTGAGGACACAGACGTTTTATAACATGGATCTGTAAGTTTGTTACAGTTAACAAGACTCTAATCTGGTCTACTTCATACACTTCACTGATAAGCCACAGAATTGTAGAGTTAGGCTTCATGATCAAAAAAAGTTTTTATGCTCTCTCTCTCTGTCTCTCACTCTCTGCATCACACTTCAATGGTCTTTCAATGGTTTTTATATTATCCGGTTTCAGGGGTTGCTGGCAGCGGCAGCCCTCAAGCACTCCAAATTCCTGCACATCTGATATGTCCATTTTTACAAGGAAAATTAACAAAGGGCAGCCCCAACAGGTACACAACTAATTAGCTAACTTGCTACCAATTCCTGTTACCTCAGGCTTTCCGACTGGCAGGTATTTTTCGGTTTTAAGTGGCCCCCTAAATCATCAGTATGTTGTTTGTTCAGACTGTGGCTGTAATGAACTGCAGAGCACAATGGTGTCCTTACCATCCATAATTTCACAGTGTGGGAAGTGGAGCTGACAGACAGCAGCATCGTGTAAACACTTGATTTCGAACAGTAGCCCTGCAGCCATCATGCCAACTGATTCGAGGAGGCGCTCATCCCATTGGGCAGTCCTGTACAGCAGCTCCACCTCCCGAGCCATAACAAACCCCAGTCCAGTCGAAGCACATTGGTACACACCTGGACCGGGACACCTGAACCTGCAGACACAGAAGGGCTGATTAAAACAAGCCTTCGGCCTTCTGATACTCAACTGGCCAATTCATGATAGGATATTCCAGAGCCTTTGGGCTCTTATTTCAAAAGCTCTGTGTTCTTAGTGTTCAGCCGAGACTGAAGATAAAAGGCCTCTGCTAGAGGATCTCAACGTGAGAGCAGGGTCGTCCGAGGAGTAAGATCATTTAGTGCTTTGTAAGTAAATCATCTGCCTGGCTAATGACAACACAGTGGGAGGGGGATGTTGTAATCATTGAAAGGAGTTGATTGCATTTTATGATTTGGTTACCTGTATGAAGTCTTTCCAGACTCAGTCAGCAGTTCCGGTGTGAAACTTAACTTGTCCTAAAATTGAAAAGGCACACAATTAGTTCATTAAACTGGGTTGGAGAGTGAATTGATACTTCAGGAGGTCCAGCCCCCCTTTTCCCTGGGCTCCAGTAACAGTGGAGCAAGTGTCGACCAAACCTCGGTCAACTGTCTCCTTTACTGTGTTGAAAAGACAACCAAATTTGAAGACGGTTAAAAATAAAAGATGTATATGTATATATGTATGTGTGTCTTTTCAGCACAGACGAGCCTAGCACATAGCATATCTAAGTACAGGTAAGAGGACCGAACCAAACTATTATTGGAGCCCAGGACAAAAAGAGATGATGAATTAGATTAAAAAATAGAGACGCATGTCTCAGTTATGTACAGGTGGCAGGATCCTCACCTACATGCACTTTACTATTTATTCATCACTTCATTATCCCTATGTCAAAATGGCTAAATTATGATTATTATTCAGTGAACTGATACAGTACTAGTGAAGCCTGAAGGACTATGTTGGACAGCAGCAAGGTCAGATACATTAAACCCTGGAGTGAGTAAAACTATGTTAGTATGATCACTGGCAGATTAATAAAAGGTTGAAAAACTGACATTTGTATTCAGAGCTTCTTGACACACAAGCTGATGCTGCTCCTCTTCATCCTCACTCTCCTCTCTGTTGTCCTCAGACTCATCAACGATTATGTTTGATGTAGACATAGGATCTGCTGGGTGATTAGAGCCATCAGATGGGGAGAAGAAGACGTGTGCACATGTCGCATGTCTTTCCCTATCTTTCTCCTCATGTTTCCTGTTGTCATCTACTGGAAATCTCTCCAATGAAGTCAAAATGTGAAAGAAATAATGTTCAAAAGCTCAAGCACAGTCATGCTTAATATCAAGTTTAAAGGGGGACAACACCAAGTTAAGACTGAGCATTCAATAACATTTACAAAGACTGAGATTCAAGACAGGCAACACAGCCAAGACATCATATTTCCCAACATGCAGAAGAAAGAGATCTTCAGTCTTCAGTTTACTCACGTCCTTCATGTCTGTCAGGTGCCCAGTTTTCTCCGTCTTCCACCCTGTAGGAATAATAAACACAAACACAGCTGTTATCTCTCATGAAGGGAGTTAAAATGATCAGATTCATTTAGTGGCCTTCTCTTCACTAAATGTAACACTGGTGATTCCACACAGCCAGGGTCCCCTAAGTGTTATCTTACTCCGTAAACATAATCGCAATGTTTTTACCATGTCCTGCAGTCCTAAGTAAAATAAAGTTTTTAACGTTGTTGACATCAATGTGGTGTTTTAATAATAAGACGACGTATCATGAGTGAAATAAGCAGTCATTTCCTCCTCAACTCTCTGTGATTTACAAAGTTTCTTGATGATATTTTTACTTGGATGGTAAAACAGCTACTGTTAGCTATTTAGTTGTGAAGCTGAGGTACAATATTGGATTGTATTTCTTCAAGTAAACAGTTCAGGTCAGTTTACAACAGAAACAGTTTCTCACTTTTTGTCTGAGGGTACAGGTACATTACTGAAGTCTGCAGGTCCATCTTTAGGACTGTCACACCTGGATCCTGGAAACTCTGATCCGTCCTTCTCCTCCTCCAGATCACTCATGTTCTTGGGTGCAGTCCATGTGATGAGTGAACCTTTACCACTGAAGAATGTAGACATATATTGCACATACACCAATACATTTCCAATACACTTACATCAAGGAATTGAAATAAGGCCCATTTATTGCAAATAGTCTAGGGCTGCACAATTAATAAACATATGAACGAAACTGTCCAATAACCAAATCACAGAAGCTGCAATTCTTTAATAAGAGCTAAGATGTGTAACAAAACAGCATTATAATCTCTTACTAACTTAATTAGCAGAGCAGTCACTGTACCTGGAAATACTGAATCTTTGACTGGATGCGAACAGTATTTTCTAAAACACTACCTCTAGAGACCAAAACATGGGCTCATCAGCATGTACTGACTTCATCTCACTACCAACCTCAATGTCTCCAGTGGACTACGTCGTGGACTCTCCAGTCCAATGGACAGCAGCTTCACTCCTGAATCCTGTAGGTCGTTGTGACTCAGATCAAGCACTCTCAGATGGGATGGGGTGGACTTCAGAGCAGAGGCCAGAGAAGCACAGCTGATCTCTGATAGCTTACACCTTTTAAGCCTACACTCACAGGATACAGATCAATAAGAAAATTCAATGAACTAACCATGTATGAAATATAAGAGAACAGTTACCAGAGAGAGATGACAATGAAC